AAATATGTAATTATAGCTTTGTTAAATGCTATAATATAGTTTGTTGTAGCATTTTTTTGTTGTTGTATAAAAAGTAGTTATAGCTCTAAATTTATGTTGTGATCTATGATTTTGTAAGATATTGATAACCCTATAATATTGATATTAAATGTTTTAATATATATTTTTAATTTATGTATTTTATATACTAAAATAACAATTAATATTTTGTTAAATTACTAAAATAACAATTAATATTTTGTCAAATATAATATAATTTAAACAAATTCATAGAAACGAAAATAAATTATTAAAAACTGAATATTAATTTACAAATCTTAAAGAAACACAAGTATTCTCTAATCATGCACACATTGAATCTAGTAGAAACAAACTTTAGAATCATGCCTTAAACAAGTAAAGAAACACAAGTATTCTCTAACCAAAATTTCTATCAGAAAAAGACCACGAAGCAACAAAACTCCTTAATTAAGTTCAATGGCTGTGACACCTTTCTTAAACCTTGAATCAACGACTCTTCCTCCTTCCTCCGACCTTCTCGAAATTCCTTCCACTGTGTGATTGCGTGGCACACCAGGAGGAGCCGGCATGTTTCACAGCTTAATGTACAGAGAAAATACAGGAGAAGCTGCTTCTGCTTGGGTTGCTTCATCTTTGAGATCTCCGCCTTATCACCACCAATTCAATAGATCAATGCTTAAGGAGCGAGCAAATTGAATCGGAGTATGCAAAAGAGAATAGAAACTCTACAGAAACTCTAACCTTGAGAATAGAGCATTTCTCAAAGTACTTGTCTCCAAGAAACGAGGCTGAAGAAATCTATCCTCCATGCTTGCTTCAGATGAATCAACCTCATCTTAGGGCACAAAATCGATTTCTCAGGGAGAAATCTCTGCGAATTTTGGGGGAGAAATCGGAAAGATAATTCGAACATACTTTAGGAGGAGGAGACGACGCTCAGATCCGCCGTAGCTCAAGGTTGAAGAAGAGAAAGAGCAATCGGCTTAGTTTCATTTTTTTTTTATCTTTTTGTTAGGTTAACAAATGAGAAGGGATAATGAATGGACAAGATTGATCAGCAAATGCTACTGGAAAAATGAACGGACATGATTGGTACATATTTGTCCTTGCCACGTCATCGATCCTAGTGATTCTTTTTAATTGGTTCTCATCTTCCTATTTTCTCTTGAGTTTTGTTTTGATTACAAACTTTTGATAATATCTCATTTATAATTAACTTTTACTTGCAAAATAATTATATTTTGTTTTGATTGCAAAAGAATTTTTATGTTTTATAATGTAAAGTGTATGGATTTACAAAATGAATATTTGAATTTTCTTATATATAAGTGTTGGATTTTTGAGTATATTTTTGTATGTTGATGTATAATAAAATTAGAAGTTTAGGGTTTAGGGTTTAGAAAATGATTATCGAAAATTTTAAAATTTCTATATCAAAAACTCATTAATCCACAAAATTTATTATATTTCTATGGTTAACAACATTAAAAATGTTATATTTCAAATCTAATACCCTAAATCTTTATACCATAAACTCCAAATCTATGCCCTAAACTACAAATAAACGACAAATAAACGACCATGACTTTAAATATTATTCCAAATTATTTGAATTTTTGTTAGTTTTGTATCGGTAATGTTCTTTTTGTTGGTTTTAAATAGCAATAAATCAATAACATATTTAGAGAATGATAAAAKAAAAAAAAAACTATGTTTTAATTATTGTATTATCATAATGATGAAACTTGTTTACAAACCGGTTTTACATAAGAAATTTCAGTAAAGAACATCACATTAAATAACTCAATGAGAATTTAGAAGCTTGAAATTTGATTTTCTATCAAGTTCATAGATCAATTGACAATCCATCTTCTCTTTCTACTTGTTGGTTTTTACTAACAACCCCACTGTAATTAACATATAAGAACTCATCCTCTTCCACTCCATCGATCGGACCAGTCCAGAACCACAATTTCAAGCCTTTCTCATTTATTGCTACACTCACAA